ATCCTTTTCAATTCTACAAATTGCATTAAGTTCAGTTGTAGCCAGTTTAAATGCTTTTCTGAGTCTTTTTTTGGTTGGTGGCTGAAGGTTTATCTCCATTTGTCCATATCATAGTTTTCTCATTCACCTCTTGACACCTCTTTTGCATCTGGATGAAAAGTGTCATGAAACTAAATGATAATTATTGGATCTCGCTGCTTGTCTGACCCAGAAAAGGACAGAATCCACATTCTGGTGGCAGTATGTGAAATTACTCAGCCTGTTCACCTCAGTGCCTCCCAGTATTTCTGTGCTATTATTACACAGCAATATTTCTGTGCTATTATTATACAGTCTGCTATCATTACACAGTCTTCTCAGGTGCTTCTTGTTAAATATCCACTATACTGATTCCCTTTTCTCCTTCTCTCCCTCTAGTCGTGCATCTCTGAACCTGTCTGCCTGCCTCCATCTTCTTCAGCTTCTCCGAATTTATAGCTTCACTTCTAGGATCTGAAGCAAAGCACAGTGAGACAAGAGTAATTCTGATGTCTTTGCTGGGAGGGAACAGAGAAACCAGCTGCCCAGCACAGTCTCTGCAATACTGCATTCACCAACTTGTTGCATAAGATAGCAGCTGCTTTTTCCACCTGTTTTTCTTCTGAGAACTAGCATCTTAATGCCACAAACATGCAGAAAATTGATGTGAGCAGCATGAAACGTGTTTGTACGGAACAAGTGTCTTATTCTGTCGGTGCTGGAAAAGATGTGTGGCAGAAGACTCCCTGATGGTTCAAGTGTTTATTTAAAACCTGATACAGATGTGCCCAAGCTGTTCAGACCTCTGTTTGAATAGTGATATCCTCAAACAACCTGTGAATAAGAAGCAGGGTAAACTGAGCAAGCTCCAAGCTTCTGGACACCACAAACATCAGACTTAGCCAAATCCAAGGATGAGGCGCTGAGGCTGCTCTAGCCCTACAATTAGAGAGAAGGGGAACAAAAGGAGTGGAGGTAGGCATCCTGACAGGGTTTGATCTTATTCATGCACCCACTGAGGGATGGTGATTGCCACTACTTGAAGGAGTCATCCTTCTTTTTCTTGGCAATGCTGCCCTGCATGTCTGGCTCCACCCTCAGCTACAGGAACAGCCCTCGCTTTCCAGGGCTCTGGCACAGGCGGAGCAGGCAGCAGAACCACAGCTATGTCGCAGTTCCCAAGAATCCGCTGCCAGAGGCAAGTGTCTGCTTTGTCTTTGCCTAGAGAAAGCCCACAAGGAAAACGTAACTCAGTAAATCCATGGTGCTGTGGCTGCAGATCTTCTCGTGCCCGTGCCAGCACACTTGGAGTGGGTTGAGGTATCTCCAGAGCGCGAGGTTCATCAAAACACTGCTGCTGCAACAGTTATTTCTTGTTGGGTGGTGGTGGACTGTGCCAGTACTTCACTGGAACCCTGTAACAGTACATACAGGGAGTAGATGTACTTACAGCTCTTGGGAACTTGCAGTCCCTTCCAAGTGGAAAATTCATTTTATTCTATGCATATTACACAGTGTCTGTGTTGAAAAAAAAAAAATAATAACAACAAAACAAAACAAACAAACCACAATAATAACAAAAACAAAAATAGAACCCTTCCTTCCTTTTCACAGCTTCCTCCAGTCTTCATAGTTTTCCACATATTCCTTTACTCCTGACTTTCTTTACAGAGCTATCCAGCACAAAAAGACAAAATGCAGACCAAACAGAGGAGAACACTCAGACCAGGTTTGGGTTTATGAGTAAAGGAGGTTGGTCCATGTTTTACAGGGTGGGATTAGAGAAGGAAAGTTATACTGTGAGAAGGCCAAAGTTGGGCTTTTTTGCTTACAAGGGGCAGGATAGGAAACCAGACACTTAGGAGGGATAACAACATGTGAAGAACGGAATTAGCAGAGCCTAGGCAGGGCAGGGGACTGACAGGTGATGAGTGACACCAGCAGAAGAAGGGTTAGAGTGGATCCCGAAAATGAGAACACAGGATTTGAAAGCCACGTGGGCAAAGATTTGGACTTTAGGGAAGGGATTTAAAGTGTGTGGGGAGAGAGGGGAGAAGAGGAGATGTTATATATGAGCCTTGCTCCTGAGAAGATACATAGTTCAATAGGTTAGCAGATGACAGGTAATGCGATCGACACGGTGCAGTTAAAACTGGCACCACACATGAATGCAATTCAGTTGTTTTACAGATCTGAGTCTATCTCAAAGCTACTATCAAAGTAAAGATCTACGGACTGACTGAAAAACCTAGGCAGTGTCTGCCTGCTGCTGTGCCCTCTTGGCTGGGACAGCTGCAGTAGCAGAAGTGGCATTTTAATTCATACCACCAAGGAAGATGGGCTGGGGATAGCACGGTGGGTGGGAGTAGAGACCACCTTGTTCTGCCTTCTCTTCGCTGCCAGCAGGACTTGTGAGCAGAGGAATGAGAAACCAGAGGTTTTAGCACCTGGAACAGATGCAGTGAGATTTGGCAGAACTCGGGTATGAAAGCCCTGAAGATTCATGACCAAGTAGTCATGCCTCAGAAAGTTACACACCACACCTCAGCTGAGCCACCGTAACTGTCCGTGTGTCTGGCTTTACTCAACAGCAAGCATGAGCCAATGCACCTTAACCAGATTTAAGGCTAGCAAGGCAGAGGAGCAGAAACTGAAGTTTTTTTTGTTTTGTTTCTTTTTTTTTTTTTTTAAAGAAGTCTGGATGGTGCGCAGGCTGAAGGAGGGCATCCTCACCTACATGGTGCTCTGTGTCAGCGCCTCCACTTGCAAGGGCAAAAGCACAGGATTTAAGAGAGAGGTCTAAACAGGGAGCCTGACTGATAAGTTTTAGACCTAAATATGCAACTCCCCTATCATAGTGTGGACGTATTTGATGTGATAATACTACTTTCCTCATAATCTTTCTACAGATTGATGTTTTAAGTGCATAAGTTAAAAATAAACAGCATTGTGGATGTAAAATCTCCAGTCATGCCGAGTTAGGATGTGTGATTGGCACTTCATAAATGTTTACAGTGATTTATAAATACCAGCGTCTCTTCTGCCACTCATCTGTCAAGAAGTCTCCTGCAGGAGAAGGGAGACAGCAGTGGGGAAGCAGCTGATATTTTAAGATGTTTTGGACCAAAGTGGCAAAGAGAGGTATTCAGGGAGTTGCATTACATCCCCCTTCTCCCTCCACACACACATGCCTTGATGAATTTGCACTGCGGAGCTGTAATTCCATTGTGGCTTTCTGATGTCTACACAAACTGCATTAGCTTTTCTGTCATGTTTTACAAGGAAAAAAAAAATTTGGCGAAAATGTCAGCAGGATGATATCTTTAATCATATTTATTGATTGACTTCAAAAGGCTCAGTGCAATTTAACTGGAACTCTCAATGTAATCAGAGGCAGGTTCAGCCAGAACCTATTCCTAGCATCGCCTAGAGCCCTAAATTCACAAGTACCTTTTGTCTCTGGTGTCCTCCTGTATGAGTGGCTGTAGCCACTGGACTTACCCGATATTTCTCTTTCAGCCTGTCCTTATTACAGCTAATCCAATATGCTACCCAATACAGCTGATCTAGCATATAGTTAGAAATGGTTTGCTGTTCTCTGGCCAGTCCCATGAACCAACAGGACCATTCAAAGCCCCTGTGAAAGTGTTACTAAATCCTATTTACAAAATATTTTATTTCCTTGCGTTGCTATTAAAGTCTGAGTGGAAGTCCTATGTGACTGGCTCCTGAAATCACCGGTTGGATTTTCAGGACAGCAAATTCGAGGTGCAGACTGCTCAGCCAGCAGGACCCCTACAGATGTCTCCTGTGGGTGAAAGCTGGGGGGGGGGGGGGGAATTTCTGCAAGACACAGCGCCTGGGTAGCATGAGGAGCTGAGGGGGGAGCTGATGGCATCCCCTGTGCCCTCAGGGGGCGTGGGGGCACTCGGGACCCCCATGTTGGGGGGGAGCGGTGGGGAGGTGAAATGGCGGCGCCTCAGGGCTGGGGCGGCTGCGGGTGCAGGACAGGCAAAGAGGGGATGGGTGCGGTGGGCTGGGTGAGGGGGCGAGCTGTGAGTGTGCGGAGTGTGTGTGCATGTGTGAGTGTATATATGATTGTGTGTGCGAGGTGGGGACAGGCTCGTGTGTGCATGAGGGGCGAGAGGTCTGTCAGGGTAGGAGGCAGCGGCGCCATGGGGTGAGGGTTCAGTGTGGGCGGTGGGGGCGCGCAGGGTGAGCTCTGTGCGTGTGTGAGTGAGGAGTGAGTGTGTGAGGAGTGGGGGTGTGAGGAGAGAGTGCGTGAAGAGTGTGTGTAGGGTGTATGTGTGTGAGAAGTGGATGTGTAAGGAGTGTGCGTGTCAGGAGTGAGCGTGTGAGGAGTGTGTGTGGGGGAGTGTGTGTGTGTGTGTGTGAGGAGTGGGTGCGTGTGTGAGGACTGGGTGTGTGAGGAGTGGGGGTGCGTGTGAGGAGTGAGTGAATGTGTGAGGAGTGCGTGCGGGGGGGGGGGGAAGTGTTTGAAGAGTGAGCGTATGAGGAGTGTGCCTGAGAAGTGTGTGTGTGTGGAGGGGGAGTGCTTGACGAGTGAGCGTGTGAGGAGTGAGTGAGAAGCGTGTGTGTTAGGAGTGAGCGTGTGAGGAGTGAGTGAGTACGTGAGGAGTGTGTGTGTGAGGAGCATGTGTGTGAGAGTGGGTTTGAGGAGCGTGTGTGCGTGTGAGGAGTTTAGGGGGGAGTGTGTATGTGTGTGAGAGGAGTGAGCGTGTGAGCAGTTTGTGTATGTGTGTGTGTGCGAGCAGTCTGTGTGTGCGTGCAGTTTATATACGTGTGTGTGAGCACTGTCTGTGTGTGTGAGCACTGCCTGTGTGTGTGAGCACTGTCTGTGTGTGTGTGAGCACTGTCTGTGTGTGTGTGAGCACTGTCTGTGTGTGTGTGAGCACTGTCTGTGTGTGTGTGAGCACTGTCTGTGTGTGTGTGCGCGGGGCGGGCGGCGGGGGGGAGCGCAGGGGCGGGCCGGCGGCCGCGCTGGTGCTGGCGGCGCTCCAGCGCGGCGCACTAATACAGGCAGCCGGCTCCCGCCTGACTGACGCCGGCCGGGGCTGCTGCTGCCGCTGCCGCTGCGCCCTGGCCCCGCCACCGCCGCCGCCGCGCAGCTGCAGCCCCAGCCCCGCTCCCAGCCCCGCTCCCTCCCTGCGAGGCACCGAGACCCCAGCCCGAGCCGGCGGCAGGTAAGAGCCGGGGCTCCCCGCCGCGTCCCGGGGCGGGGGCCGCGCGGAGCCGTCCCCCCGAAGTTAGCGGAGGTGGAGATGTGGGGGGGGGGGGGGGGGAGCAGCGGCCGGTGCCGGTGCCGGTATCCCCGCGGCGCTGGGGGGCCGGGAGGGGGCCGGGGCGGCGGGGGCAGAGAGGCAGAGACAAGGCGACGCCAGGGCTGCGAGCGAAAAGGAGGAGGAAAAAAAAAAAGAAAAAGAAAAAAAAAAAAAAGCGTTTTTATGGATGGCTGAGCGCTGACAAGCCTCCCCGCCGTTATGATTGCTTTCCCTCTGCTTGAAGGAGGGGGGGGAGGAGAGAAAAAAAAAAAACTAAAGCAAAACAACAACACAAAAATCCCCACATGACACGTTTGGGAATAGTTTTCCTTTCAGAGGTTGCTCGCTGCTCAAGAAATGCCGCTCCTGGACACGCTCCCGAGCAGAATTTCGGGGATTTGGTTGCGGACCAAACGCCGTCCTGGGCTGCCTGGTGCTGGTCACCAAAACCCAGCAGCCCACCCCATGGCAAAGCCAGACCCATCCCAGCTCTGTCCCCGCGCCCCTGCAGCTCTGAGCCTCAGGAGCTCAAAGTTTGGCTAATTTGCAACAATTCCGATATTGTGTGGCAACTGCGTTTTCCTCCTTTGATTTTATGGGTAAATTAATTTGATGCTAGCCAGGGCTGCTTTAAAAGAAGGCTTAGTGGGAATAAAAATAAATGACACACGCTTGCATGCTCACAAACACACACACACACACACACTGTTAATTACTCGCATTTTATAGATTAATGAGGAAAAAACTCAGCCCCGAATGGTCAACTTCTCAGTGAATGAACTCTCCCTGGGTAGCAGTAGGAAATGATGTGCACGTCTTTGGAATGTGTTCAAGTTTGGGGCTGTTTGGTAAGGACACTGCAGATAAGGCAAGTTTCTCTCCTTCGTACCTGCGACGTGGAGGAGCGAGGGGCTTTACACAGCGTGTCCGTGCGGTAGGAGCGACCTGCTCGTCTTCGGGAGTGTAAGCTCGAGAAAAAAAGCCACAAAATTCTTCCCCTCAGCGACGGTAGGACAAATGTCATCACTCCAACAAGCCTCATCCGTTTTCATCCAGCCAGACAACTCCCTTCTTCGTCCAGATTTGATAAGTACCAGTGTCTGGCTGGTTTGTGTTTTGTTTCCTGCTAGGTTTTAAAACAGAGGCTGGGAGTGTATTTTTTTCCTATTTTAAATACTGAGTTAATTTGGTATAGTGGCTAAGATAAACATGAATTTTATCAAGAAGTATACGTTGTGTTACATTTACTGAGTTGTGCAGTAGTTTCCTTTTTCTGTCCCTTGCGATGGAATTAACAAACACTTTCTACTTCACCACGTTACAGGCATATAAGCTGATAAGCTGTAATTCTGCAGAAATGACTGAAATAGGGGTTGAGCGTGTTTCACCACGCATCCTGGTGGTAATCAGGGTTTGTGTGTTGATAGGGGCTGGAGACAGATGCTTTTATCCACATGCAGCAACTGAAACAAACACGCACCAAGGTTTACTCTGAGCTGTCAGCCACACAACTCTGTGAAGAAGTTGAGCGCTAATATTTTATTAATGCACTTGTCCAAAGCTAAGAGGCACACGCGCGTATGCCAAATATCCACAGAAGGTGGAGAGGAGTGTAGAGGAATTGGGGAGCCGCTCAGGTCTGGATGCTGCTTTCACACGAGCTGGTAGCAGTGCCCCGTGCTGCCTTCGCTGGGGACGGAACAAGGCCTAATGCAGTAAAATAGGAGCAGAGAAGTGTCGGTGTAATGTATCACATAACATCTGGACAGTTAATCCTCCTTTCTCCCCTTTTATTCTTTTACAGACTTGGTGCATTTCACATTTGAATCCTTAGCTATCTGCTGTTATCAGCCCGGCAGATAGCGTGTCATCTAATCCTCCACTGAATGCTAAAGTACTGTAATTCTGATGGCCAGGCTAATCTGTCGCGATAAAGTTTTATTTTTCCATTGTTAAATTCAAAGGACAATGCCTGCTAATTACAAGTGACCTCTAACCAAAACACTAGCTCGTGTTTATCACCGGTGCTGATACCTGCTAGCAGTATTCCGGCATCAGCTGCACGAGGCACCCTGCTTCAAAGAAACCTAACAGAAGAATTCAGGGAGCCAAAAGCAGGGAAAATACATGTGCTCTAGGTAATTTGCTGAAAAAAAAAAAACAACAGCAAAAAAAAACGTGGTAAAAGTGTACGTATATTCTATTTGCTGTGCAGCATATCTATTACAAACAATAATAATGACAGGGATGGGGAAGAAATAATTAAAAATTTCACTTAAAATATTTATGATAGCAGCACAGCAAATACATACATACAGAAGGCTGTTATGGTAGACTGCGTGGTTTCCTGCTGCAGGCGGGTATAAAGAACCATTAGAGTTATTGTACATTAACAGCCAAAGACAGTAATAGCAACGACAATTTGAGAGAATCACTGCTTTCCTATTACTGTCTTTGAGGACGTTTGTTGTAAGAAATATTAGATTGAATGCAGTGTAATAAAATTAATTTTTCAAAAATATTCTTAATAATGTTGGAATGGTAGTAGTGTGGGAATTCTGCAGATAAAGAGGTGAATTGGAGAGCTTAGGGCTCCGTGTATTCACGAGAGTAGCTGAAAACCTTGCTGAGCTTTTGCAGCTGAGGGGATCTAATAGACTGTGGGATCGGAGCCCAGACCGAGATCCTGACGGGTGTACGTACACGTTTACATCAGAGCAGGTGACACTCTGTCTGTTCAAGTTTTCTTTTTTTTTTTTTTGTGCAGATAGCTGTGATTTTTAGACAGATTTTTCTACAGGACCGCTTGCAGGTTTCTGCAAGAACTGTTGCAGCATCCTAGACAGATGCATCCTAGGCAGAACAGTTTTCCCTGAGGTTCAGCTCCTCTGGACAAGGGCACAGCAAGGACACCGTGGAGGTGGACACAATTTCCTAGCTTACACGGTTGCCACTGTAAAAACAGAAAGCAGAGAGGAAAAGAAAATCTGATAATCGACCTTGTGGTTTATCTTTATTTATTTATTTTTGAGGCAGCGGGAAGCTCTAGGTGTGTTTCTCCCTGGGAGGAGAAATGCTGTATCTTTCCAGCATCCTTCCCTCCAGAACTTGTTTCCTTCCCACTCTTCTTCATTGTCAGTCACACCACCACCTCCTTCCCTCTGCCAAACTCGGCATCATCCTTTGACTGCTGTGTTTCCTCACAAGCCTTGGTACTCCCAGATGTCTCCTGACACTTCTTCTTCACGTTACTTCTTACATTCCCCCTTCCTTTCGTTTGCAGCTGCCAAAGCATTAGTCCACGCAGTGGCACCCTTCCAGCTCGATACTGCAACCTCCCGTTTCCCAACAGGCTCCCTTCTTCCACCTACGTTCTGTTCCCAGGCAGCACGACCCCTGCCAAAACCCCGGATCTTTTGTTTTCCTTTCTGAAACGTCTCCACGCAGGCTCCCGTTCTGGAGTCTTTATATACTCCTGGTTTTTAGTTAGGCTTTGAAAGATTTCCCCGCTTCCAGGGTTCTCCACAGCTATTGGCCTCGGTCCTGCGGTCCACTGAAAGGCAGAAAGGAGGAGGAAAGAAAATGACCAGATCCTTGGGTCGTTACAGTTTGTTCTGCTTCAGGCTTCCTTTCACCCTCATTACCTGGCTACAAAAGGAGCAAGATTGGTCGCTGCTTGATAACTGTTCCTCTGTTTGTTCTGCCCCGGGTTGTGCTCGGCCACGCAGCTGCGCTGTGAGGAGCACGAGGCAGCGGGCTGGTGGTGGTGGTACCCTTTCCAGAAGGTGGTGTTTGCTCACAGCAAAGCTCCGTGCAATTAAGAACACTTTATAATGCAAATAACCGTGCTGCCGAGGTTGTAGGTGCACTTAAACAATGGTTAATCACTTTGCAGTTCCTTGCCATGCCTTCCCTTAATGAAAAGTCTTTTAATTTATTTTTGGTAAAGCTTTCCCGTGTAGCGTTCCTCATCGGGAGAGTGCAGAGGGCTTTGCAGGACAGTCCTTGTCGGGATACCTACATGTAGGGCACCTGAAGGAAAATTATTTACAGGATGGGGTCCCACATGCTGGGCTCAGAAGGGACCGAAGGCACCAGGGGCTCACGTGGCTCTTTGGGACTCCCTTCTGGTTACTTGCTGGCCTGGCCTACCCACACCTACTTGGCTCCATCAGACGAGTCCAGCTGCCAACGTGCAGTTTCTTACCCTGCAGCGTGTGAGGTAGATAATTTATCTCCTTAATCGAGAGCTCCTGGATTGCTTCATGGCAGGCATGAGGCCTCCACAGAGACATCTAGGATAAGGAAACTGAAATTCGTCCCTGCGTGAGGCAGCACCCTGCTGCTTTTCTGCTTCTTGGTAGGGACCTGTGTGGGGTCTTGGGCAGATCTGAGTGGTAGGAGGGGAGAGGAAGGGAAGAAACTGAGTTGGGATGTTCCCTGGGCTCCTGGGGTGAGTTTGCAGAAGAGACGCGTTTCTTCTGAAGGCTCAGGGCCCTCTTCCTGCCCTTTGCTCGGTACCCTGCATTTTCAGGAGCTGGCTGTTACCACGGCGTGTCATCTTGCATGTCGAAGAGAATCCAGCCCTCATTTTGTGCTCCCAGGCTCACACGGAGGCATGTGAAGGCTGTTTAATCCCATAAGCAAGTGTTCTGCCTTGCAGAGAAGCTGAGCACCCACGTCTCTGGCTGAAGTTGCCGGGGCTGGCCGGCCGTCTCCTCCTTCTCTCCTTACAGAAGGCAACTAGGTAGGCAAGTTCCTGCTCCTTTTATTCCTAGAGCCAGCGTGGTGAAACAGCTTCCACCGAGAGTCCAGGCACATCCAGATACTCCTTGTGGAAAACACCTCAGTGCGAGCCTCGGCCCCTTGTCCAAGGCAACCCCGGCCAGTGAATCAGATGAAACCCACTCATACCAGAGCCC